GGAAGTCCAAAGATAGTCCTCACCTCCAAATCCCATTTCTCTAATTCACTAATTCTAAACCTTAGTTCCCTCTAATTCTTAAGCAATTAACTTTAGGTTATCATTAACATTCTTAAACATTTACGAGCGTTTTATTCTAATGCATAATTCTTTAGTTTGTTAAACAGTTTATTTTAGTTATTTTATTTCGTCACTTCCGTTACTTTAGCCATACTTAAGATATCTTTGTAAGCATATTATATATCAAGAATTATACAATACACATTATATATATATATATATATATATATATATATATATATATATATATATATAATATCATTTGTAATTGACCGATGGGCACTAGGGAGAAGCACGTCGCGGTTTCGCTTAGGCGTAGGAGGAAATGTGCGGGAGCGGTGCACTTGGACACGGTGCATTTGGACACAGCCAATCACAGCACCGTGTGATTAGAGACATTTGTAGGGTCCCTTGGAACAGCGACTTGTGATTGGACTGTGTCCAATTGCCCTGTGTCCAACTGATATACACCCTACCCAGATAGCCAAATCTGCGCGAGCAGATGAGACAAGACGTAGATGAGACAAAACTATGTCACAAATTCCACTAAAAACTGCTGAAAAACAGCTAAAACGCGGGACGTTCGTGATTGGTTCCATTCTGTTACATGGGTTTGCACCCTTACTCCTTTTATCATTAAATTATCCCCTTGGTGGAAATTCTATTTATATGTTTATATGTAAATAACACGAACATTCTTAGAGGTTTTAAATGTCTAAAGGTTTTTAAAAAAGTCTTAGGTCTTTTTTGCGATATAGTGTCCTCAATCTTTTTTTTAAGGGGGAACACCACGGTGACGGTTTCAAAAAATCGATTTTTTTTTTTTGCATTTTTGTGATGTTTGGAGTCTTAAAAATATGTCCCTATAATATTATGGTGAAATTTGTAACGGAACTATAGTAAATATGTCATAGAGTAGAACTTGGTCAGATGCAGCTAGTAGAACCGGCCGCGCGCTACCTGAAAAGATTCGGCAGTCCCCTTGATCTGTCTGTAGGGAGTTTTACCGGTATTCTTTTGTTGTCTACGTGCTTGAGTTC